CCCAGTGGGATTGCTGCGGGATGGCTCCTGGGCTCTGGCACTGCAAGGGAGGGAGCTGTGACCAGGACAGCCACGCTGTGGGCCTGGTTTCCAGCGAGCTGGCGAGGGGAGAGGAGTCTTGCAACCCAAGCTCGGTCCCTGCGGATGCCAGCCAAGGCCAGCTGTGGCTGTAGCAGTGCCCCCAGCCCAAGAGCCAAGAGCTGGGTGGGATTGCTGCGGGATGGCTCCTGGGCTCTGGCACTGCAAGGGAGGGAGCTGTGACCAGGACAGCCACGCTGTGGGCCTGGTTTCCAGCGAGCTGGCGAGGGGAGAGGAGTCTTGCAACCCAAGCTCGGTCCCTGCGGATGCCAGCCAAGGCCAGCTGTGGCTGTAGCAGTGCCCCCAGCCCAAGAGCCAAGAGCTGGGGTTGGGATATCATCGGGGGGGAAGTGGCTGGGAGGTTGCTGGTGGCAGTCCAGCCTGGCCTTGGGTAAGGAGAGGCAGAGGACTGCCATCTATTGCCAGGCACCTGGATTACAGACCTGTTGGTGGCAGTTCAGAGCCACAGAGTCTAGTTCTTTTGTTGTTCTGGTCTTTGGCCTGGTGAAGGCATGGGCGCGTTATTTGAAACCCTTTAACAGATCAGCACTTAGGTGCCTACAGCGTGTTTTAAGTGTGGGATTGCCCCAGCTGGACTCCAGCATGGGAGAATTTGGTTTTTCTTTGTGCTTTTTGCAAAAGGAGTTATTCTTCCTTTCCTACCCTAAGTTGTCTGAGGTTGCTTTGTGTGGTGAAGCACTTATGTTGCTCCATCCCACCCCAGAAGTGCCTTGATCATTTACCACAGCCCTCCAGTAGCAGACAGCTAAGGAGAGGTGGGTGCAGCAGGAGGGGTAGTGGCTCATAGCTCAGAAACAGTATGTGGAAGGGGGACAAAGGGGCAGAAGGAGGATAGCAGGCTGTCTTCATGCGGTGAGCAGGCCTGCGACACAGTGTACGTTTCTGAGCTGACTGGTGTGTCTGAATACTATATTTTTATTTTACAGGATAAGCAGTGAGATTTTTTTGGTTGGACTTGGGTGATCTAACCAAAACAATTCTATGATTCTATAGGAACATTTGCAGAGAGTAGGAAAGGTGTTTGTTACCGTGCAAAACTGGAGGGAATCCTGCAGTGCTTTGAAAAGACCTTCTTGGGCTTGATGATTGTGACAGGCCAGCAGACAAAATGCTCTGAAGACCAGGGCAAGGTGATTCAGAAAATGATCTGGCTGCCACTGTGGGCTGTTCAGTAAAGACCACAACTCACTGTGAAATTGTGGTTTAAAAGCAAACAAACAAAAAACCAAAAGAAAATTAGGATAAAGAAGCAACAGGATAAAAAAATGCATTCAGCATTTGTCATTGTATATGTCAATAATGTTTGCTCCTCAGGCAAGTTCTGCTCCTTTTTGATCACCTACTTTCAAAAGTATACGATGGAGGTACAAAGATACCACAAACGAGCAGAGGTTGAGAATAAAACTCAGATGAGAAGGTAAAAAAACCTTTGTGTGTTAGAGAGAAGAGTCACAGCAGATGTGATTGACCTACCCCACTGATTATTTTACCTTCCTCAATCTTCCATCTCTGATACAAAACTCTTGAGGGAGGCAGTTGGCCAGTCTGAACCGGGTGGAAAATGTTAGATAAAATGAGAGTCACAAAGGAAATTAATAACAAAGCAAGGAATTAAACCAGGGTCTCCAGAGTCTGAACCCCTGGAACCATCTTATCTTTTAAAAGTCTAAGAAAAAGAAAGACATTAAACTGATAAAAGTAAATGGTGGGTTTATTGAAAACATGATTAACCTGTGGAAATCTCCCCTGCTAGGTGTCACCAGTTTGGAAGTGCAGTGGGACTCAAAAAGAAGGAATCGACAGTTATGTGAACAACAAGAATGTTTGTGGTGACTTGTGCTAGGAGAAAATTGTAAAGCGTATAAATTGTGCTGCAGGGCATAAGTCAGCTGCTGGCTGTCAGGCATCAGGAAGACATTTTCTCTGTGAGAAGGTTACTGTATAATTATCTATGACAATGTTTCTTCCTTTGAAGTGTTTAATCTTGACCAGTGGAGGCAAGATAACGGGTCACATAGTTTTGTGAAGTTTTTTTGTGACATTATCTGGTGCCTGATGGTGATTTCTTCTGCCTGTTTGGTATCACACCTTTCTCCAGGGTTATGTTCACCTTCTTCTTAAATGTCTCAGGCAAAGACATTTCTGCTCCCTACCCTCCATGCAAAATATTTTGAAGGCAGCAGTCCTTGACATGAGCTAATTATTCTTGCCATTCATGCTATACTTTCTCTTGCTCATGTTTGTTCCAGTTCTCCTAGGTGATTTTCTGGGAATGACCTCAAGGAAGCCCTCTATTGCTAGGGCTAAATCTTGTGTCTGCTCCATTATTGTCTGAGCTGTCCCACCTACTGCAGTCATGTCTCTCCTGTTCTGTATTCTCTGCCTTACCACTTTCGTGCTCTTTGGTCCAGTCTACAAGTGTGTTATTTTTTTAAAGCCGTGTTGCTGCTCTTCCAAGTAACTTGATGTATTTTGTGTCTCTTACTTTGTATCTTGCAGGAAGAGCCAAGGAGCAAATCCAAGATCTGTGCCAATGTTTTCTGCGGAGCTGGGCGGGAGTGTACAGTGACGGAAAAGGGAGAGCCAACCTGCCTCTGCATTGAGGTAGGGGGGAAATGCAGCTGCTGCATCTGGGACAGCTGTCACCACCATCACCCCCCGGCTGGGGCTCGGTCGCTGGAAGGATCTCATGATGGGATGAGGCTACAGCTGTTTTGGAGCAGCTGCAAATTCACAGTGGCTCTTCAAACAGCAGCGTCTTTCACAGTGTAGTGTGGGGGAGGAGCCCTGTAGGGTAGATATTGTCTGGGGCTTGCAGCCATGCTACTCGCACAACTGCCTGAGGTCTTTGCACACACAGGAGACTTGTCTAGAGGTCTTTTGTTGGGAAAGCCCAGTTGGGGATTGATAGGCAGCTGGCTTTGGAGGGCACTCTAAGGAGTGGTCTGCAAGCTCCAAGACAGCCTGCCCTCACTGGCGCCTTGTTTGAGGAGGTTACAAACATCTTACTAAAAATTAGCTTTTGTAAAATGGAAATAATTGTGGTAGAGTGCTGTGAGGCTGAATAGCTCCATCCAGCAGGGAGCCAGAGATGATTAGAAGAGCCTTTCCCAGCTGTAGAGACACAGTGTCTCCCTGCTCCACTCTGCCTCGTGCTTTCAAACCATTCCTGCCAGGCTCCTGGGAATGGGCATGTGGCTCTTTGTTCTCACCTCCCTTGGAGCCTGCAGCCCTGACACGGCCAGCCCAGGCACTGGAGAGTGAAATGCTCTGTTAGCAGGAACAGAGTCTGTCACTCAGAGTAAGCTTGGCCAGACTGAAAGGGACAGGAGGAAGAAGCCCACAGCCTGAACAGTGGCACTGGTGACCTCTCCCTCTGCTGTACGCTGTGCTGTTTGCTCGTGGCTCACAGCTTATTCTGCATTTGGTTGCAGAAAGGTGGAGCAGAGTCTAAAAGAGATGTGACAGAGCGGAGCAAGCAGAGGTGCTCAGAAGAGACTCATAGAAACGCCTCCGGGCAGGCATGTTCGTGGCACACAGCGCAGCAGTTGCAGGCTTACACTCAGAAATTGTGCTGGGCACTGATTTCTCTGCTGTGCTCTGCTTTCAGGAAGGCTCCTGTTGTGGTGGTGGTGACGGAGGCTGGGATAAAGTGCAACCACAGTCTTCTCTGTGCAGGTTTTTCTGAGGTGGTGATGGGTGGGTTCAGCCTGCTCCAAGCACCTTTTGGGCCAAGGGGGCTGTGCCAAGAGCTTCTATTGAGTTGGGCTCATGCTGGGACTCAGCTGCTTCCCTCTAGCTGTCCCAAAGAGGCAGGTAAAATGCTGTCTTCTCTGGATCTCCCACAGCAATGCAAACCTCACAAGAGACCTGTGTGCGGTAGCAATGGCAAGACATACCTGAACCACTGTGAGCTGCACCGTGATGCCTGCCTCACTGGCTCCAAGATCCAGGTGGATTACGATGGCCACTGTAAAGGTAACCCCGTGTCAGGGAACAATGAGAGCTGGCTGCTCTCCAAGGGAGGGAGAGCCAGGAGCCAAGTGTGATAACAAGGCAAGGCAGAGGTCTTGCCAACCAGGACCCTGACCTGCAGTTGCAGAGCGGGGTAAATGGGGTGAGCCTCGGAACGATGGTCAGGTTCAACCAAGAGTCCAGATCACCAGGCAAATTTGTGGTAATGAAGTAGGCCTGAAGTCAAGCCATGAAATCAGGTCAGGATCAGTTCTGGTGATGGTAACCAAGACCAGGCACAGCCAGTAATTGCCAGACAAGACCATAGCGATGCAGTCTACAGCAGGTCTGAGATCAAGGTGGGAAGACAATCACCAGGTGAGGGCCTAGATCCACAGGGTCTGTTGCAGGTACAGAAATGGTTGCAACAGAGCTGGAGACAGGCATACCTACAACATAAGTCCAGGCAAGGACGAAGGGCTGAGGCATCAGCTGAAATGAAGCTCCTGGGCTCATGGATAGAGAGTGTGAATAGAGGCCCTAGGTGATGCTGGCAAGGCCATCGAGGCCCTCATTAGTGCCCTCAGGACCCCGACACCTTGGCTGCGGTGGGATCTTGGAGCTATTGTCTCCCTGAGTTGCTGGGAGGGGGGCACTCAGGAGAGCAGGGCAACTTCTTGCTCATAGAATCATAGAATGGTTTGGGTTGAAAGGGACCTTAAAGCTCATCTGGTTCCAACCCCCCTGCCATCAGCAGGGACACCTTCCACTAGACCAGGTTGCTCAAAGCCTCATCCAGCCTGGCCTTGAACACTTCCAGGGAGGGGGCAGCCACAGCTTCTCTGGGCAACCTGTGCCAGTGTCTCACCACCCTCACAGGAAACAATTTCTTCCTCATATCTCATCTAAATCTCCCCTCTTCCACTTTAAAGCCATCACCTGTTGTTCCTGCCTGCCTCTCTCTGAGCTCATGGATTCAGACAGGCAGGTCTCTTGGTCTGCGTGCTGGGGAAAGGTCAGACTCTCAGGATAAACCCCCAAAGCCCATACTACCATCCATGTTCATGAGGGACCTCAAGAACTTCAGAAGCAAGGATTTTGCCTCAACAGTGGGGCTGTTTAACTTACCTCCACACCAGCTGCACAGTAAAAAAGTGTTTCCTTATGTTCAGACAGAATTTCATGTGTTTAAATATGTGCTCACTGCCTCTTGCCCTGTCACTGGACACCACGGAGAAGAGTCTGGCTCAGTCTTCTTCATTCCCTCCCATCAGATCTATAATCATTGATGAGATTGCTCCTGAGCCTTCTCTTCTTCAGGCTAACCAGTCCTCAGTCTCCCCTCAGGGTGATAGATGTTCCGCTCCCTTGATCATATATGTGGCCCTCATGTGTTTCCAAAGACTCCCAGGTTCCTCTGCTCTCGCCCAAGCGGCACCCAGGGTGGGAAGAGGTTTGTATTGCTTCATGTTACATCAGAAATGTCCTCTTCTGTCTTTCCGTTAACAGAGAAGAAGTCTGAGAATCCAGCTGCAAGTCCAGGTAAGCCATCTCCTTTCTGGCTGGGACCTCTATATGAATCTGGGATAAGAGAGATGGGGAGGAAGGTCTGCTGAGGGAGTTGCACAGCTCTGTGTAAGTCATACCCCTGCACTGGCTGCAGCAGAGTCTGAGTTGATAAATCAGTTGAAATACGATTGCCCAGCTCTTTACTCCAGGTAGCCTGTCAGAGCTCATACATTTCCTGGGCTCTTTGCTGTGCTGGGATGTCTCAGGGACTCTGAGCATGTACAAGGTGCAATGATATCCAGTTCACTCCTCAGGACACAGGCTGTGCTCATCACCCAGACTAAGGGAAGAGACACTTTTTTGCATTGGGATTCGTTGGGGATCTAAGACACAATAACTGTGGAGCCATGTCCCCAATTCCAAGAGAACTCTTGAAAGGAGACTTTGCTTCAGGAGTGATTAACTGGTGGGTGCAGGGGCAGAGAGGCAGCAGTTTATAATGAATCTGGGCACTGTCAAGGGATTCAGGAGGTATAGCTGAACCACCTCTCCCAGCAGCCAACAAGTCTCTCTGATTCCTTGTGCCTGGTTTCTCCCCTTATGCATTGCCTTGTGTACTTAGACTATGGATTTTGGTGCCACGGCCTGTGCTTCATCAGGGGACTTTTTTCCCATACCTGACCTCCAAGTGCTGGAGCTTTATAATCATCAGCTTCAGCCTCCTAGGACAGATGAGAGCAAACCCTCCTACAAGCTTAAGGGAAAGGACCATGTCAGGGCATGGCCACCACCTTAAAGCAGTTTTGAGGAAGTTCAAAATTAAACATGCAGAATCCTTACATTTTTATGGTTGGTGTGTTTTTTTTTTTCATCTGTCTGGTTGTGATTGTAGTCACTGGATTCAGAAGGAGATCCTTAGTGTGTGTAAGTGACACAAATGCACACGGATTCCCCTTCTGGCTCCATTGACCTCTGGGCAAGTGTCACAACTCACAGAAGCCAGAAGATCTAGGCTTTCAGTTTTGCTTCTAAATGCATGGTTTGATACTAGCACACAACATGACATCCACCTAGAGAAACCTCTGACTGTGGAGAGCACTGTGAACAAGCCCAACTTGCCCCCCTCTCATTTCCAATCAGAGTGGACAAGCCAGGGCTTTGATGAAATAAAAACTCCTGAGATAACAGGCTCTAAAATTCAAGTCTTGGGGACAGCATGGTGGAAAGGCTTGTTCAGTCCAGTCTTTGCCCTTGCAGAGGATAGAGGTTTGGTACTTGAGGGCTGACAGCCACATGCCTGTTCTGCATGGCATGGGGAAGGCTGGAGACGCTGACAGTCACCTTCCTCCCTCAGTCTGGGGACTCTTCACACCAAGATGAGTCAGACACTCTGGTTTGTTCTTCCACAAGCTTTGGGGACAGGAAGGCAGAAGAGCTTTGGCAGGAGTGTTGTTTTCTTGCCTTGCCACATGGTGTCACCCACAGCCCATCCGCCGTTCAGCACATGGCACCTCTGCTTTGATATGGCAGTGGCACATCTCCATCAGGGCTGGCTGGCTTTTATTTCCAGTCGTCTCTCTGTGGTCTCCCTGCCAACTTCATTTCTCTCATCCTTGCTTTTTCTTCTGCTACACCTTCTCCCGTTACAGTTGTCTGCTACCAGTCAGACAGGGATGAACTTCGTCGCCGTGTCATCCAGTGGCTGGAAGCTGAGATTATCCCAGACGGTTGGTTTTCCAAGGGCAGCAACTACAGTGAAGTCCTGGACAAGTATTTCAAGGCAAGTAGAGCAGTGGCTGCCTCTGAGACCAGAGAACGTTTCTTGCCCTGTTACTGCAAAACAGCTGCCCATGCCCCTACCCAGGAGGCTCCAGTGTGTGATGGACCCGACAAGCTGGGAGCCAGAGAGGTTTGGTGTGTCCTACAGCGTGATGTGTTATGGGCTGCCTGCAGCAGCCACTGGCACAGCTACGTGACAGCCCAGACCTGGAGCATCCCTGGGGATCTGACCTGCCCTGGGGAAAAGGAGGAGGGCAGACCAAGTGTGCCTGTGGCAGGGGAAGGAAGAACTGATCTCAGAGGACAAAAGATAGCAAGAGGAGAGAAGGTGGGTGAAAGTGTGGGAAATGCAGGTAGAAGGAGCAGGAAGCCGGGGCAGAGGCTGCTGATCCTTTGTTCCAGACAGTCCAAGGCCATGTTGAGATGGGGATAGGGGACACTTGGGGGCTTCAATATGAGTATTTGCCTGTAAGGAGCATGGCTCACTTATGGCTGAGAGCTGTCAGTTCCCTAGTGCTCTGCAGAGAGAGAGAAGCCACCAGTGTATCTCCAGCCCTGCAATAATCCCGTTCCTCTTCCCCCCTCCCTGGCAGTCTGTCCCTCAGCCCATCCCCACCCCTTTTTGTAACCAGCAGATCACACGCTTCTCCCATGCTTCTGCCACATGCACTGCTGCGTCCCTCCCTCCCCCTCACGCCCAGCTCCTGATAAAGACTTCAAAGCATTCAGGATGGAGCTGGAGGAGCAGGTGGGGAAAGGGAGAGAGTGTTTAAATCATAAGCTGTTGACATCGAGAGATTAATGGTGCCTGACAGGAGTTAGCACTGCGAGCAAATTTGCCATGGCAATGGCACCCCCTGGTGAGATAGAGGAACTGGTCCCCACACTCCAGAGACCGTCTTTGCCTTTGTAGCTGTTAAAGCTGCTCCGTCTGTGGAAACCCACTTCTGACCCACCGCCTCGGGCATCCCCACCAGCACCTGCCAGTACCCCAGAGCTGCAGCACCCTGCGGAGGGGAGCTGCACAGTCCCTCCCCCTGCAAATTCACTGTCCCCAGCTGCCTTTGCAGAGCTTCCCCAGGCCATGGGCTTTGCTGAAATGCATGAGCCAGCCACGGGCTTGCTCCCCTGCCACCACACAGCCCAGTCACCCTCGGCAGCCCTGTGCCTGTCGGGGCACAGGTGAAATCCCGTGGCTGCAGCTCAGAGGCAGACAGCCTCAATTTTCTTTATTGTCCCCCTTTTTCTGGAGCACTGATCCCAGGCACAAGCGGGTGAAAGTGTCCTTGTCAAAGCTGTAACCTTTCTCAGACCACAGTGGGAATTCCCTTCTCTGTCAGATGGTAGTACATCATATCAACAACACTTAAAGCTTTGAAATACTTTTAAAGCAGAATTCAGAGCTTGGAGCAACCTGGGACAAATACAAGCAAAGCAAAGTAAATGGGTTCAAGCACACATGAATTTCTTTCATCCATGGAGTGCCCAGCCCCAGGGTCCACCGCCCAGCAAATGCCCTGATTCCTACCCTGCAGGTAATAAACACTGGAAACAAAGATGACGTGAAGCTTTTCCCTTTTCTCCTTGGTGAGGAGGTTGGTAGATGTGGCATTAAGATGTTTCCCTCCTGGAAGCCTGACTTGTGTGGATCACTGGGGTGTGGGTTGTACATCAGGCTGGCCTTGATCTTGGAGGGTTTTATTTCAAGAGGAGTGAGGCCAGCAATGGGAAGCTGCTCTATTTTGGAGGGTCTCTGGGGGAACATGTAAATGCATATCATAGCATTGAAAGGCAAGACTAGCTTGGCTGAGTCTTGGTCATTAAGGGAACTGCAGCCACTTTCACAAGAAATAGCGGGACGAAAGGCTTCAAAGTCTTTGAAACACATTAGTGGAGCAGTTATACCCAGGCTACAGGGCGCAGAGTAATTCTCCTAGCCCTGCAGGTTTGTCCTGAACCACACCAAGGTAACAACAGCCAGTTGTCTCTTCCAGCATTCCTGGAAGCTCTGTGTGAGGAGACACAGCGACCTGCCCCAAGTCACAGCAGAAATTAGCCGGCAGCAGCCTGTGTGCAGAATTCATTTTCCCCTCCCTGCAATGCAG